TATCCTTTGAAGTATATAGAGCTTTAAGTATGTTGCAAGTGTGATGAGTCGTCATCACATCTTCGGTCCTCGAGGTATGCAGAGTCGACTTCGAGAGCTAGGAGGTCGACTTATGAACATGTGAGGATTTCGGAGGCTACGCTTGGTTAATTCTCTCGAATGGAAGTCGTCTTCAGAGAATCATCTTAGTGAAGTCGACTACTGGGAGTCGACTTAGAGTATCTGGATGCTCAAAAGCTATGCTCTTGTTGTTCTTCCTATATAGAGGTCGATTAATGGAAGTCGACAGACTGAGGTCGACTTACGAGAGTCGACTTCAAGGAAGTCAGTTTGGGTATGTCGATGGGAACATATCATCCTACAGGCGGTCCGCGCGGTTATCCGGTCGAGTTAGGGGCTTTAGGATTGGTGGATGATACTGTGGCTATATCACTGCCGCACATAGTCTCCTTCTCTCTCCTCCGCCACATGACTAACTCATTGAGTGAAACATCAGGTCGAGATTTTTGCCGATTATTAAATATGAGTGAAGAAATGTAAAATACACNGTATTATATGATTCTATCTAACATAAGCCTCATAACCAAAATGATTTTTCTTAAAAAAAAGTCTTAACACAAGTATAATATGCAACATGGAGAGACTAAAAAATCATTTATTGTACAGTGACAAACATCATTATATTAGTAAAGAAACATTAGATATTTGAAAAATCAAATGCATATAGTAGCTGAACATATATATCAAATTATTAGGGCTGATATTTTTTAACCGAAAACTGAACAGACGATAAAATAAAGCGAACCGTACTAAACCGTTTGTAATCGGTTACCGAATCACTATCGATTCGGTATCGGTTTTGAACCCATAAGGGTTCGGTAAAACCGAACCGAATCGATAAGGGTAAAAAATTTAAAACAAGGACCTTTTTTTTGTAAATATTAAAACAAGGATTAGTTGTTTAATGTGTAGTGTTTAAAAATTGAAATAAGAGCTCAACCCTATTTAAATCTCAAACTGACGAGAAAAATACACTACTTATCGCCTCATTCACCTTCTCACCTCAGCATTGTCGGTTTACCAGCTTCAGTCCTTCTAAGGAATATGGTACCGTTACTGTAGTATATTCTCTTACCACCGTTACTAGATAAGTTAGTTGAAGTTGTATCACAAATTTTATTTTTTGCGTGTTCAACAATATATTGTTTTATTAGTTGCGTTTAACACAAAAACTATAATTTAATTATATTTAAACTGACTTCTTTTTTTTTCGAAACGATAGAGATATTATATAAAACCGAACAAAAGTACAAAGGTACAACCATCAGCTGAATACAGACAGCCAAAAGCTGAATATAACCAGCCAACAGCTGAATAAAGTGGAAGGACAGTCAAAAGACCGCCTAGAGCCGACCCCAACGGGGTAATACTCACAAACACACAAAAACACTAACAAACACACAAAACTACGAAACTAAAGACCCTAACAGAGTAATACCCGAGTGTCGGATCTAAACTAACTTCTATATATTAAATTTAAGCTCTTTAATCCTTCAATGGATTTGTGAGTTTTTTGTGTGTATTTAATTGGTAAGAAGCATAGTTTTTAAACCTAGCCCGGAAATCGACCCAGGCAGGTCTCCGGGTCATCGGGTCACCGGTTCAACCGCCGGGTCACCGAGTTAATTGCTGAACCAAATAATTAATTTTAAAATTTTTAAAATTATATATATAGTATTTTTGACATATAAATACACATAAAAGTAACAAAAATAAATGTTTTGTATACAAGATTTGTACATTTAAGTGTTAATAATATTGTATTTCACAATAAATATTTACTATATCATTATATTTACATAGTTTTTATTATTTATATAAAAAAATAAAAAAATTTATAGAGACCGGGTCGACCCGGTCGGGTCAATGAACCGGGTCGATCGAGTCAAGGCCGGGTTGACCGAATTTTGACCGGGTCCATTGTTACCCGGTTCAAATAACCCACCCAAATCAATTTCGGTTCCGGGTCGACCGGGCCTCAGGTCGACTCACCGGGTCGGTCCGGGTCAAAAAACAATGGTAAGAAGTGAGAAAATTACCAAAATGACGAGAAAAGTAAACACTAGGATTTTTTTTTTTGCTTTTTGAGTTCAAACTGGTTCGGTTTTTTTAGTATAAAACCGAAACCGAACCGAGTTTTCGGTTATCGAAAATTCGATAATCGACTTTAATCGGTTTTGCATTTCAAGGACTGACATTATCAGTTTGGTACCGATATATGCTTATCGGTTCGGTTACCGAACCGATACCACCCTTACAATTATATGTGTGTATGTAAATGTGGCATTAGGAACTAATCAAGCTCAATGCTCGAGTCCAACCAAACCAACCCTTACATGGCATTTAGAAAGGATCATGTTTTATTAGTATACACTGACAATGATAGTGTGATTGAATGCTACTCATAACCAAAAAGTCCAATTAAAAAAATCCAATTAAAATTCAAAGTTAAGTCAATTTTAATCAAATTTCGTTATTTTCAATATTATTAATATAATTAAATAATATTAGTTAATAATTTTAACAGATCACATCAACTTTAATTTACTATTTGTCTACTCTCATCATTTTAACTACATATCACTCATAAGTACTTTATCAAATAAACTTTAATTATTTAATTTTAAATATTATTTTAAATCAAACTCAATACCTCACTCTACCCTAACTCAACCACTTTTTTTAAAAAATTAACTATGATTAACCAAAAAAATCAATCAAAACTTAATAAAATCTATATCTATATAAAATAAGAATTGACTTAAATCAAGTATAGTAAGCATTTCCCGCCATTAGCATTAATTACATCCTAATTATAGTAATTTTACACACTTCCTTAAAACAAACCTTGAAGCATTAATTATAATCGATTTTAACTTCCCTTAACAACCGGATTTATTGTTTTAAAAAGATACTACATAATATTTGATTAAACATTAAATATGGATGTTTGGAATCAATTTTATTTAAAAGCAGTATTATTATGGAATCAAATATTATGAAGTATTTTTTTAATAGCAGTATAATTATAGAATCAAATAATTTAACCACGATTCAATATTTTTTAAGTCAATCTATATCTCTTTTGGACTTATCAATTCATTTTAATATAATATAAATTTACCGTATAAATAAGAGTAGGACTTTACAATAATCATAGTATCAATATTAATAATATAAATGCTAAATAAAATTTAATTATTTGGACTACACACTTTATTATATACATATAGATAAATTGCATATTTGAACTTTTAAATTTTTTATTTTTTTTTACATATAGTTATGCAATATATGCAACTTAACTAAAAGTAAAAAATACTGTAAAGATTTCATTTCAATCATGGTAACATATTTTTTAAAATTGCCACAATATTGAATTCACTATTCCACTACCCATGTAAACATCTTTTTGTTTATATTATCACGATTATTTTTTTTTATCATTTTGAATCGTTTTTTTTATTTAAAAACCATGATTTACATGTCCTCCGATTCATTTAGTTAGTTTTGAGCTACAAATGATAAAATATCATTGTTGTTGTTTTTTTAACGTAATTATTTTTATAAATATTGTTTTACAAAAGATACAATGAAAATCCAAATCTCTGGTAAAACATAACAAAAATAAAATTGTATCAATATTGGAATGAATTTGGTATAAAAAAAAAAAGAGAATGATTGAAGAAAAAAAAGATATACTCAAAATCCACAATTTAAGGTAACAACTTTTCTTATATTCTATATAAAATTAAACTTCACCATATAAATCATATATTTAGTATTTATTATAATATTATATATTTTCACTATAGTTTTATTTCGTGGTGGTAGCATTCTGAAAATCAACAAAAAATTGAAAGAATGAGGTGTCTATGCAATTCGCAATTACTAAGTGGAGAACAATTTTGGTAAATATCGATCTACAGTTGTCAAGTGCAAAATAATTTTGCATGGAAAAACAAATAGGTTTTTAATAATGTATGACTTTTTCATGATGAACATTTGCGATTACCTAACAAATATTCTATGTATTATAACTTATTAATTAATAGCATTCAATTATAAATTTTACCAAAATAAATACAGTCTGTGCATCGCACGAGGTTAAGTACAACTCGGTATCATATCACCCTCTTATTAATGTCTGAAGATTGCGGAATAAAAAAAAAAGTAGTTTCCGCTCTAAGTTTTAAGCTATTAATAATATTATTATTTCACTTATGTCAAGATTTCAAGTTACAGATAATGGATTGCAGGACTCACATAATACGTATTAATATTAAATGAATGTGAGTGTTACGATAGGGAGGTGTTGATAAAATAAAATGTACTCTAATCCAGTGTTTGGTTTTGGTGTCATTGACAGTGGCTAGGCTAGGCCAATCTATATAAGAACACATCCAAATGAAAGTCCCGTCTTTAGTAAAAAAAAAAAATAGCTCGTCTGCCCAGTATCTGAACCAGACAGGTTAAATAAGATCAGTAGCAAAGAATATGTATGTACTTAATGCATTGCATCCAAAGTCTACTAGATTCAGTGAAGGCTCCTCTTTTACATTCCCAAAATTTTCTTAGTAATGGCACTAATTTCAAATAATTTCTGTTTGATCCACTCAAATTCATGTAACTGATAAAACACGAAACTCCAGTATATAGAAGATTCTACCCAAAAAGAAAGCAGCATGTCACACATTCAGTATTCAAATCAATCAAGCACATGCCACTGAATAGTTTTGAGTCAATCGGACAGTTAAAATGAAAACAAGAACGTAAAATCGCATTGGAATTTGGGAAGACATAATTCAGTATACCCAAAACTAATTCCATCAAGTTTCGTTTATTCGACGAACAGAAATGCAGAAAGTAAATCAGATAGTCAAAATTTTGCACCTCTAGCTAGCACCAAATTGAACATTCTATGCCTCAAGAATGCCAAATCAATGCCCCCGAACAATGTAAGCAAGAGAAACCGCGGCCAGGAGAGTCGTGGCCGAGGACAAAATGGTCCAAAAGCTCTTCTTCTTGTGTGCATCCTCTACAGTTACCTGAAGCTGCTCCAGCTGCCTCTTCATGCTATCGATTTTGCCCGCTTTATTCTTGAAAGCACTCTTAATCAGTTCAAGTTCATCTGCATAAGCCTTTGTTTCTTCACCATCGCTGACCCAATCACCGGCCCCCATGATGTCACCATAGTCCTCCGAGCAAAAGGCTGCAGTTTCCTTCACCATATTCAGCACCACACCAGACTTGACGTCCGATTTTTGAACTCTACCCTTCATCAAATCTATTTCTTTCTTCCACTCGGTTATGGCATTCTCCAAGGAAGCAATTTCCTTCTTCAGCAATTTACACTGGCTTTCCAACTCCACCTTCTCGGCAAATAAAACAGAATTTTCGGCCTTCACATTCTCGGAGGCCCTAAGGATATCCTCAATTTTACCCTCCAAAATGACGATATTGTCCTTCAGTTTCAAAGCTTTCGCCTTCTCCTCATCGAGATAGACTTTCATATTGTCCCTCTCGGTTTTCACCTGCTCAAGATTCAACCGGTAGCTTCCCACCTCAGATACCAAGCTTTCGACCTTGCTCAATTCAACCCGACTGGATTCCTCCATTTTCGATACGACAGACTTGAGTTCGGTTATCTGGTTCTGCAAGACACTCACTTCATTCTCAAGACCACTTTTGGCCTCCACTAGGACCGCATTTTCCTTAACCAAAGCCTCGGATTTACATTTCTCCTCTGCAAGTTTCTCCAATTTGTCCTTCATTTCCCTCTCGACTGCAGTTTTATGGGCAGCTAAACCCTCAATTTTCTCCTCACTAGCCTTTTTCTCCTCCAACAAACGATCAATCTCCCTCTCCATCTCCTTCTGCCTCTCCTCACCCACAGTGCATTTATTCTCCAGCACGGCTACAACATCACGCAGCTTACACTCCTCTTTCTGCAAAGCATTGACTATCTCATTCAGTGTATTGACATCCTTTTCCAACTTCTGGCTTCTAACCACTTCCGATTCTTTCTCATCTTCAATCACTTTTCTCTCTCTAATAACACCAGAGAGCTTTTCACGTGAGGCCTCCACCAATTTGTTCGACTCTGTTAAACTCCTCTGTATCGAGTCTTTCTCTTTCGTTATAGCATCAATCCTCAGCTTCATACCCCCATTATCACCAACCACGAGATCATACGCATCCCTCAGTTCCCCAAGCTCTCGTCCGACAGCCATTTCTCTCTCCTCAAGCTTGACCAGACTCTCCTTCATCCTTCGACCTTCCTGAATCTGCAGATCGAGCATCTCCTTGACCTCGTCCCTCTCTAAGCCCACTCTCCTTGAGACCTCCTTCTGGTTTCCCAGTAAACCCTCCGTTTCCCACAATTTCGCGGTCAATTCATCAATCGCACTCACTTTTTCGTCAATCACCCTCTTCAGCTCGTTCATTTCCCGCCGAACCGCCTCCCCTTCCGCGCCAAGCTGCATTCCAACAAACGAGGCCACCACGCTTGTCTCGAGTTCCAGCTTCGCGGCGGTCTCGCCCATCCGCGCCAGCTCCGAGTTGAGGACCTTCACCTCCGAGCTTGAACGGGTCAACTCGGTCTCCAGAGAGGTTTTACATTGAACGAGCGAGTCCACCAGCTGGCGGCGCTCGACCGCCTCCTTGAGCAGCCTCTGGTTCAGAGACTTCAGATTCTGGAGCTTTTCAGAAGCTTCGGGGTCCATCGGCGGAGCCACCTCTTTCACCAAATCATCTGGTTTGGACGAGGCTCTCTGTTGTTGGGGATGAGACACTTTCTTCTTCGCCATTGCTAACTAAATCGAGAAATTCTTGTGGTGGAAAAGGGGATTGAAGATGAAGGGTCGAGGTTTTTCAGGGTTTTAGTGAACTATAGAGCCACAAATTGGAGGAGAAGATAAAGTCTGCGGAGAGAAATGAAAGGGATTGGTTGCAGTAATTAGGGTTTTTTCTGCCCTTTCAAATTCAAATTTTGAGAGGGCTCGAAACCCAAGGGGTTTTTATAACGTCTATTCATATAGTAAGTTTAGTAACTTCTATTGAAGTTTATTATGTGGGTGGCAGTAACGTAATTTTAAGATTGCATTTAGGGGTGGTTGTGTCAAATTATTTCTAGTTTGTACTAGCAATTTATTAGCCCAATTGATTGGTAAATTATTAATATCAATTTAATACTATAAGGTTTTTGGCATTCCATTTTGGTGGGGTAGGGCATATAGGGAATTTAGGTAGAATTTAATGCGAGGTTCCTTTTGACAATTAGTTGTACCAAAAGTCTTCTTGGGATGGAAGGGTCTGTTTCTCTCTCTAGGGATTTGGTGTTCCACTAGTTGGATCTGGGGGGTTGGATTCGAGTCTTTTATTTCTTATTTCTTGTCGCTCTTCTTCATTTTGTGTCTTTCTTGTTGTCTTTGGTCGTGTATGTTGGTTTTTTTTCTTCTTAGGGGAGTATCAAGTTGGTAGGGTTCTTGGGGGTAGGGTTTGGTTAGATATTAGGGGGTTTGTGTCGACTCTGATTGTGGGCTTAGATGGAGGATCTGGAAGGAATTGACATTGCTGATCAACTACAAAGATTTGAATTATCATCGGAGGAAAAATCGGGAGTGGCTTTGGAGGAGGAGGATGTGGTTCATAGTGGAGAAGAATGCAAACTGAGTTTATTTGGGAGGATCTTTGGAAATAAGAAGGTAAATTTAACAGGGTTGAGACGAACGCTTGGGTTGGTATTGAGGACATCACAACCTTTGGAAGTGAAGGAAATGGAGTCTAATTGCTACCAGTTTATTTTCAGGTGTGATGGGGATAAACAACGAATATTACGGGGGGTCTGATGGGCTTTTGATGGGCAATATATATTATTGGAAAAGTGGTTGGAAGATGTTTTGGAGGAGGTGGGAAAGTTGAGTAAAATGGATGTTTGGGTGCAAGTGCTGAATGTGCTGTGTCATTGGTTATCTCTGTAAACTAGAGTGAAGATTGGAAGGATTTTTCACATGGTTAAGGATGTCCAAATACAGGAAGCTAGGAGGTCTGGAGGAAGGGTGCTTAGACTTTTAGTAACTGTAGATTTATTGAAACCTCTTTTAAGGGGAACTACAGTTTCACTAGAGGGAAAGTCAAGGTGGGTGGATTTTCGATATGAGCATTTGCAAGTGTTTTGTTTTTATTGTGGGTGTGTGGGTCAGCATGAGAAGCTGTGTGAAAATAAGAGATCTGATATAGCAAAGGGTTCCTTTGTATTAAATCAGTATGGGGAGTGGTTAAGGGCCTCACATGGATGGGGGACTGGTAGATTCAATAAAGGGAAGGATGGGATAGAGGGTGAAGCGGATGTTAACGATGAAAATGGAAATCACAAAGAGAAGGTTAGTTCTCCTCATAGGGAAGGGATAAGTTAAGGGTTTTTAGAGGTGAGCAATGAGAAGGAGGGTTTGGGTAAGGAGTGGCTGAGGCAGTTTCTGTTGGGGAGAGAGGGGTAGAAGTTAGTAATAGTAAGATGGAATGTGAAGGGGGTGAGGATAGAGGAAAAAAGGTTGTGGTTCTGGGGGGTATGAGAGGAAGTGGATCTGAGGGTGAGGATAGTGAGCAAATGATGGATTTGAGTGAGGGGCTGCTAGATGAAGGGGTAGAGATGTTAAAGGGGGTGCAAGGGAGGAGGGTTATTAAAGTGATAAGGTCTCAGGGACTGAGGGAGAAAAGAGAAAAAGAGGGGGTGGGTAGTAGTAAGGTGGGGTTAGAGGCTAAAAGAATTTTTGATATGTTATCTGAAAGGGTTGAGGAGGAGGAAATTATGTGGAAAAAACATAAAGGAGAAACTGAAGAAATAAAGGGAGATCTGACTGAACTGAAGGGCCCCGGGGTGCAAATAAAGGCTATGGTGTGGAATTGTAGAGGTCTAGAGGGCCCCTCTACAATTTCCCAGTTAAAGGAAGTATTTAGACTCCACTCCCCAGATGTGTTATTTATTAGTGAAACAAAGAAGAATGAGAGTTTTGTGGCTACAGTATGTAGGGGTTTGAAGATGCATAATAGATGGTTTGTGGTGGATCTTATTGGTCAAAAGGGTGGTTTGCTTTTTGTGCTTGGCTTCTTGGGTAAATATTAGTAACATTGTGGCTAATCAGTTTAGTATCCAAGTGAAGTGTGATTGGGGGAATGGGATGGGAAAGGTTTGGCTAGTATTTGTTTATGCTAGCACAAATAGTGTAGAAAAGGTTAGGTAGTGGGACTTTTTGTGTAGTCAAAAGAGATCCTGGGGGATTTTTGGTGGGTGGGGGGAGATTTTAATGACATAAGTTGTGTTGAAGATAAAAATGGGGGCATAGTGAGGAGTGTGGGTAGCTTTAAGGGGTTTAGGGACTTCATTGAGGGTATGGGGATCTGTGAAATTTCTTTTGAGGGTCATAGGTTCACTTGGAATAATAATAGACAGGGGGCTGAGTTTGTGGAGGAAAGGTGTTAGAGTAGAATACCCGGCGTTCCAATCAGATTGGATTTATTTCTACTTATAAAACAATTTATTGGAAATTATATTATTTTGAGGCATAACTTTATCTTATGTATTTGCATTTATCCTATATTTGCAAATATGATAAAGTCCTTATATCATTATTAGCTACGAGGCATGGTTGCGCATTTGATGGCAATCATGGAACATGTCTTTAAAGCTGTGATCTTAAATAAGTTCCCAGTCGATGGGTGTTTCGAGACAGGACATCTAATAACCCGGTAAGACTTGTGCATATGATGTATGCTCATCGGATGAGAATGTTGCATTCCATCAACATTAGCGTGTGGACGCGAATGCATATATGCGGGTGCTTGTTGGAGAACAAGTTCACTGAACATGGCCTGATGAAAAGTCTTAACTGGAAGTGTTAATTGTCGAATAAGAATTTTCATGTTGCAATAGTACATGATTGATCCTATGACTTGAGGCACGATAGTAATCTTGTACATATTATGCTTTACTTTGATTTATCCTATGATTGTTGGACAATCATAAAAGGGATATTTTAAGTACTGTATTAATATGTATGGAGGTTTATCTGTGGCCAACAAAGAATTCGACACTTATGTGGATAAGTGAATTTCTTATGTTTTTCATAGTTTGTGATTCAAAGACCTTGGCCAAGGCAGGATGAATATGAATTCATAAAGGAATCACTAAACTTGAAATGAAATCATAGTTATTAAATCAATTGAGTTTCGACTTATAAATCCATGCCCAAGATTTAATCGAGAAATTAGTTGTCGAAATGATTTTACATGTATGCACTTGCAATTGAAAAGGTTTACTCGCTATTTCACTTAACACTAGATAATCATGCTACTTGCTAGGTGTTACCATGATTTGTGGGTTCTTGAAATTAAAGAGTTGATTTCAAGAATATAAATTAATTAGATTAATTTAAATTACAAACGAGTTGTAAATCCACTACTAGTGTTAATCGTGAACCTAAAAAGGTCACACCAAATTTTAGATGATGACAATTTTGAAATTGGTATTTCCAATAATTGGATTGATTGACAAGACTTAATTAAATAATTTAATTATTTAACTAAATCTAATTGTGATTAGATATCAATTTAAGGAATATAATAAATTAATCAATTGGATTGATTAATTGGGCTTTGGATATTAATTAAGTATTGGAATCACTAAATTAATAGTTGGATTTTAAAATTAGATTTTAAAATTCAAATCTAAATATTAATATGATTATATATTAAAAGCCTACATGAGAAAGGAGATTTTAATTTTATGGGAGCTAAGATTTTGACTAATTAATTTTGAAAGGTTAGTTTCATAAATTATAAGTCATTATCTTGATTTAATCTTTAATTAATATTAATTAAAATAAAATAAAATAAATAAATATATATATATTAATTATGTTAGATGGGGGTTGTTAACCACCTAACCTAACATCTATATTTTGTACAAATTCATGCGTGGAAGATACCAGAAAGTTTTGTATATATATATATGTATATATAAAAGTAGACATGATATGCATGTTTTCCCAATTCTATAAAATGGCAAAAAGAGCATATGATGCTCTCGGTTTTTTGAGAAAGAAAATAATTTTGATTCCTATACCAATTGAATACCGAGAAATTTCTACTAGCGAAGAAATTGTTCTCGGAGTCAGAATCCAAATGGGTGGACTTGATTAGAGGGGAGACACTTGGATCCCTTACGGAATAAGAAGACGGTGATAGCCAAATAACCGGGAATTGATTTCCTCTTCATCGTTGCTATTTGAAGAAAATTAAAGGTAATTTTCAAAATTCTCTACAAATCAAAATTCGTATTTTTACGTGACTTTAAAAGATGCCGATCATTTTATTCGCTATATTTACTTACGGATTAAGTATTTATTTGATAAATGATAATTATATTGTATAATTTCCGTTGAGATTTTAATTCGTACAGTATAGCGAACCCAACAAAAGGTTGGATAGGTGTTTTGGGTCTGGAGAGTGGATGAGGAAGTTTTCAAACTGTAAAGTTATGCATGTAATTCGATCAGCTTCTAATCATTACATGTTGATTTGTGATATGGAAAGGGTGGAGGGGAGTAAGAAGAAGAGGTTTTATTTTGATAGAAGGTGGTTGGGTTGGTCAGGGGTGAAAGAAGTCGTAGAAGGAGCTTGGGGAAAATCTGTTGTGGGTTTTCCACTTTGTAGAATTCAAAGAAAGATTCAAAACTGAAGAATGGATCTTTTGAACTGGAGAAGGAGGATGAGGTCTAATGCTTCTATTATGATTGAGAAGTGTAATCTGGAGTTAGAGGAGCTTAGAGAGGCCAGGGGTAATAGAGATTGTAGTAGATGGGGATTGTTGAAGGAGAAACTGCATTCAACCTACAGGGAGGAGGAAATTTTTTGGAAAGATAAATCTAGGGTGTTATGGTTGAAGAAGGGAGATAAGAATACGAAATTTTTTCACTCTTGCACTTTGGAGAGAAAAAGGATGAACAATATTCATTGTTTAAAAAGGGATGATGGATCCTTGTGTGCTGATCCAGACAGTATTGAGGTGGAAATTTCAGAACATTTCAGACTTCAGCACCTGAGATTGATGAGAGAGTTTTAGAAGGTATTCCCATATCTATCATTTATTCTCCTAATCAGAGTCTGGTTGGGGTAGTAGGGGATGTAGAAATCAGAAAGGTTTTATTTGATCTTCATCCTAACAAAGCTCCTGGTCTTGATGGCATGTCTCCGGTCTTTTTTCATTCCTTTTGGTCTATTATTTGTTTGGAGGTTTGTCAGTCTGTTAGAGTTTTCTTTTCTTCTTCATATATGTCTACTAGTGTGAATCGTACTCTTATTTCTATGATTCCTAAAATTAAGTGTCCTTTATCCTTAAGTCATTATAGACCTATAAGTTTGTGTAATGTTTTGTATAGAGTTATTTCTAAAATCTTAGCTAATAGATTAAAATTAGTCCTTCCCTTTTGTATCAGTGAGAGTCAGTCTGCTTTCATCCCTGGAAGACAAATTTTAGATAATGTAGTGGTGGCTCATGAGTGTCTTCATTTTCTTAATAATTGTAGATATAGGAAGGACAATTTTATGGCTATCAAATTGGATATGTCAAAAGCGTATGATAGGGTTGAGTGGCATTTTTTGAGCTTGGTTTTGCACACTATGGGCTTCCTTCTCAATTTATCAATTGGATTATGGCATGTGTGAGCTCTACTTCATTTTCCTTTAATATTAATAGCCAGGTGAAAGGGTATATTACTGCTTCCAGGGGATTAAAACAGGAGATCCATTGTCTCCATATTTATTTATTATTTTAACCGAAGCTTTTTCTAATCTTATTAGACAGGCTCAGGGCTGTAATATGTATCAGGGATTAAAAATTTGAAGGGATGCTCCTGAAATTACCCATTTATTTTTTGCGGATGACTCCCTTTTATTTTGTAAAGCGGATGTGGAACATGCGGTTGTAATTAAGAATATTTTGGATAGGTATTGTTATTGCTCGGGGCAGTAAATTTTGATAAATCTTCTTGCTTTTTTAGTAAAAATTCTTCTGCTGCTCTGAAGGATTCTATTTGTCGTATTTTGGGGAATATTCAAATTCAGTCAAATTCTAAGTGCTTGGGCTTGCCAATGGTTATAGGCAAATCTAAGTTGGAAGTGTTTCAGTATGTGGAGGATGCAATGAGACGGAAGATAAATAGCTGGAAAAACCAATTTTTGAGCTCAGCAGGGAAGAAGATTTTGTTGAAGTCAGTGGTCGGTTCCTTGCCCGTTTATGTCATGTCGTGCTTCAAGCTGCCAGTTGGAGTAGTGAAGGTTGTGGAGACTATGTCTGCAAATTTTTGGTGGGGATTTGCCAGTGAAGGAAGAAGTAAGCTACATTGGATAAAATGGAGAGAGCTGTCAGAACCAAAGAATCAGAGGGGTTTGGGGTTTCATAATCTAAGGTGTTTTAATGATGTTTTACTTGTAAAGCAACTTTGGAGGATGCACAGTCAGCCGGAGGTGTTAATGTGTAGAGTGTTGCATGCTAAATACAAACCAAAGGGGAACTGGGGAAATTTGCCAATGAAGCAGAATCAATATTGGCTCTGGAAATGTTGGGCAAAAGCAGGAAAGTTTTTGGAGAGGGGGTTGAGAATCAGAATTGGGGATGGGAAAGATACTTCAATCTGGAATGATCCCTGGATTCCTACAAATGCACCTTTTAAATTGTAGGGAGAATATGTGGATCACAGGGGCTTGGAGAAGGTTAGTCAATTGATGAGGGCAGAGGGAGGATGGAATAAGCAACTAATTGAGGATGTGTTTCAGGAAAGAGATGTTACAACCATTATGAAAATTAAGCCTGATGTGGAAATGAGACCAGATGAGGTTGTTTGGCATTTTGACCCAAAGGGTAGATTTTCAGTAAAGTCTGCTTATAGAATGATCAGACAACATGAGAAATTGGTGCTGGATAGACCAGAAGGTAGCAGGACTAGGGAGAAAGAGAATAAATTGTGGTCTAGGGTTTGGGCTTTAAAAATTAAAAATAAGCTGAAGTTGTTTTTGTGGAATTGTATTAAAAATATCCTCCCAACTACTGACAATCTATGGAGGAGGAAAGTGAAAGAGAGCAATGTTTGTGAAGTGTGTGGGGAACAGGGTGAAACCATGGAGCACATTTCTTTTCCTGTGAGAGGGCTATTAAAGTTTGGAGATTGGCTCCTCTGTTTTGGGAGGGAGGGGAGCAAAGGGAGGGAAATTTTAGGGACTGGTCTTGGATTTCCAGGGGCACTACGATTGAGGATTATGGGGATAGACTGCATTTTTCTGTGTATATGTTATCGTGGTTATGGAAGTCGCGCAATTTATGGGTGTTTGAGCACATTAGTAGGTCTGAAATGGGGATTATGAAAGGAGCTTGGGGGGAATGGTTGGAATTTTGTAAGGTGTAAGGGTTTCTTTATCTGGTTTGTTTTGGTGGGTGATAGTTATGCAGAGTGAGGTGACTAGGGAACCCAGGTGGGACTTTCAATGGTGACTGCTCTGTTTTCTTTTTGCGGGTGGGAGTTAGGGGGCTGCAGCAGTGGGAATCTCGGCAAGGTTGTAGTTGTTTGCGTGAGGGGCAGTTGTAGAAGAATTTGTTCTTTGCTGGGGTTTCTGTATTATTTTGATATTTGTATGGCTGTTTCTGGTTTTTGGGCATGGTTGTTGGGTAGTTAGTTTTAGTGTTGTATATGTTTTATTTGTTTTGGGCGCAGTGTTGGAGTTCCAACTGGTGATATTTGTAAATCCAGTTTGGCGATTGTAATATTTGTACAGGTCACCTAGTTATATATATATATATATATAGGGGTTGGTTCAAATAAAAACTAGTCCTGGTGTGAGAACCGTGAGAACCATATTTGGTGCCATTTTTAATTGTGTATGATGCTATTTTTAATCACAAATGGTGCTATTATTTTTACAAATGCTAACATAAATTGTGTTGCTATTTTTAATAAAATAAATCCTGATTAAAAATAGCATTAGAATACAATCAATCATAGCACTACATACAATTAAAAATAGCGGTTCTCACGGTTCTCACGCTAGGACTTAGTTCTCATTTGAATCAAATCCTATATATATATATATATTGTCAATTACAATTCCTTCCAAACCCCNTAACAAATGTAAATGTATGAAATAGTAATTCAACGCCATTGATATAGTTAAACAAGATTATTCAAGATATAGTACTACTTTTCACTTATAATTACTAGAACAAAATTACGTAGATACTATTATGTTGGTTTGGTTATAATATTGTAACTAGTATGATACCTATGTACTATACGAGTACTCAAATATATTAATATTTATACAATAAAAAAATTAAAATAATTTATATTTTTATTGTGAAACTATGTATGATGAATATATAACAATAATAAATAACTACAAAGTGATAATTAATTCAAAACGTGCCCCGTACTTTTACACTAAATTTGTCAAAATGATATTTTTAATTATATTTTTAAATTGTATATGTCTAACTCAAATATTATTTACAATTCTATATATTTTATTTGAATTCCTTTTTTAAATAAAAACAAGTTTTATTGTATTATGATTACATTTTATACTTATAGAGTCGGTGTCTTTCTCATTATCAAATTTTCAAGTACTTTAAGTTCATATAATTTAATAACTTAGAATATTAATTTATGCAGAAATATATTATTTCCTAAATATAAAAATATTTTATTTTATTTATAATGATATTAATTTGTATTTATTATTTTAAAAAATACAATAACATTCCACTCCTTATATAATATATTTAAATTGATAAATAATATTTTTATATCTTTTAAAATTTATTTTATGTGATACTTTATTTCTATATTTTATCCATAATCTATGAAAAAAGAAACACGTTTTAAAGTGATTATTTTATGGTGTATTGATAAATTAGATTTTAATAATATTTATAAAATAATTTATATTGTTATTTGATATTTTTAAATTGATCTGATAATAAAATTAGTTTTATTTATAAAGATAGATAAAATTATTTTTATTTTATATATGTCAAATCGAAGATCATTAAAATATTATTTTGGTATGTCATATATACAAATACAATACAAATAAAAAATTTATAAAGTTTCAAAAATAAAAAAAATCCATGTTTATAATAATTAATATATGAATTAGATAAGAGAATGTAAGAGTAGTATATGATAACTTAAGAAAAAAGGAAAGTTAAAATAGTTTATGACAATTCCCAATGCTAAAATCAAAACCAAATCAATACATTTGTCAATACAAAATACAAATTTATAACAAATAAACTTACGAAACATACGAGTATGTCATTTAGAGCATCTTTAATGCTTAAATGTAGTTGTAGAAAATTACACTCTACATTAACATATTTAGCAATTTATTCACTTTTAATCCTCCAATGCATAATGCTATCACAAATGTAGTGATGAGGTGGATATAATTAATGTATACAATGTAGAGATGAATGTGGTTCATCCTCATTCTCATTCACATTCTAGCCAACCAATGGAGATAGGAGAGAGAAATATTATTACCATTTTCAAAATATCTAATCATTTAATTCATTTTTTTTTTATATTTATTTTGGCCAAGTGGACAATATTGTGTTTGATCACATTGTGCATTGTAGATAATTTTTTAGATTTAAAGTTGTGAACTTAACAAATATCATATGTGGTTCACAATCCATCTAAATAATTGACATTTGTCAAAATTTATGTGATGACAACATTTAGATAGAGTGTGAACCACATATGATATTTGTTAAGTTCACAACTTTAAATCTAAAAAATTATCTACAATGCACAATGTGATCAAACACAATATTGTCCACTTGGTCAAAATAAAAAAATTATAAATAAGAAAAAAACAAATTAAATAATTTAGATATTTTGAAAATGGTAATAATATTTCTCTCTCATTTCTCAATTGGTTGATTGGAATGTGAAAGAGAATATGGATGAACCACATTGTTCTCTACATTGTGGACATTAATTATGTCCATCTCATCACTACGTACATTTATGATTACATTGTGCATTGTAGGATTAAAAGTGGAGACATTGCTAAATTTGTTAATATAAAGTGTAATTTACTACAACTACATTTCACCATTGGAAATGCTCTTAGGCTCAACGTATTCGAGAATATATAAATTAAGGTGATGGGGTTTTGATTGATTCCCATCTATATATATCTAAAAAGGTTGATGTAAAAATTATTTTTAAAAACCTAAAATAAATTGAGTTGACTTTTGACTTTCTATTTATGTAATCTCATTCAAATTTTAAAAAACAATCGTGATAATGGAATACGAAATTGATAATTCCGTTAATTAAGGCATTAGATATTCCCCTTTTTTTTTAGCAATCGATATATCCTTAACGTGATAAGATATATACATATGATTGCATATTTTGTTGTTGTATCCCAAAAGTTATGGAATTTAATATCTATCCAACTATAATCCATAATTATCTTCAATCACTTTTGGTGAATAAAAACAATATCTTCCATTTTTTTTTTTTTGGTCAATTGAAACGTGCAGAAAAAAAGAATTGTATAAAAAATATTCACTTCCACCATTACAACTCATCATTCACGAGTTGAGAGAAAAAAAAATACAAAAAAATACGGAGACCAATTCTTCACATCGACAATATAATGCTTCCAGGCTGGGGTACACTTGATTCCGTTAACAAAAGAAAGAAACCTTTTTTTGTGTCTGAGAGCAGTCCGCATTATTGAAACCCATCACGAACGGGAGAGCTGTAACGCATTTTCATGATGAACAGGTAATATTTACCTTTGTTATTTCAATTGTATATAATTTAGAAAATTATTTTAATTAATATTTATATATTTTGTATCGATAGGGTGCTTTCATTAAATGCGTTATCCAGCAACAAACTTTATATAAACTGAGAGCAGTCTAATTTTTGTAAAATATGTAAACTTTAAACGTGTTTTTATATATAAAATTGTATATACTTTTAAACATGTTAGTTGGGCAAATTTTAAGGATATATATAAGTGTGTATGCTAACTTTAAGTATATATATTTTTCTTATAAAATAGTCTAGACAAAATTGAGGTAATTTCACATTTTTCAATAATAATATAAAATATTTTAATACTTTCACATATGTTATATAATAGTCTACGTATTCTTAATGTCTTTTGGTTGTAACATTGTTAACACATATAATATTAGATACTTTTAAACATATTTAGATAATTTTTTTACTCATTCTTTAATATCTATGTGCATAAAAAGAGAATAAGATTTATAAAAGATTTTCCGGCAATATACTAAATGTTAGAATAAAAATCTCATTTTATTTGTTATATAATATTTCGAGTTGCATTAATTTTGATTTGTATGTGTAAAATTGATAAATTAAGCGTATGAAAAGGAGCGTACGAATTACTGTAAGGATTTAAAAAAAAAAAAAAAAATCTAATTTTTGAATATTTTCTACTAACTTCTAAATGAATTTATGTCATAATTCGTCATAATTTTCCCACATCATGTCAATATTTATTTTATATATACTAGGTAAAAAGTAAATCATTATCTCAATATTTATTCTATATATTCTAAGTAAATCTTCTCATCTATCAGCAGGTAATATTTCATACTTTTCTATTCATAATCAAATATATCAAAGCTTAACAAATTTTACTTCACAAAGAAAGTGTTCAATAATTTATATTTTTTTTTCCTTCTTTGCAATCCATTTATTTTTGTTACATATATACAAATTATATTATTTTTAATATTTCACACGTTAAACATTTCAGAAAAATATATCATCCCGTGCATCGCACGGCTACGCGCTAGTTAAAGTTATATAGTGTTTATCCATGTGACAAAATAAGGCTCATTACATTATTTGGTTCGCTTACATTCGAATTTAACGGCCTATCCAATTGTAAACCAACTAACTTATATGCATAAATTATAAACGAACAACTTGATATCAAGTCTAATAGCAATCAAACACACATAGTGCAGACATATAAACACAAGAACATACACCCTCGAGATAGTCTAGGCATGACTAGCTTTGTGACTACTACGAATAAATACCGTCGCCACAAAAGATTAATTCGATTAATATCATACATTTTTTAGAATAGTGTTGAATATATACTCAAGTTATTCTAAAAAATCACAATTAATGAATATCCATATATAGTTAAGGAAATTTTATCATATAATTTGTAAATATGAGCTTATTCATCAAATAATCTAAATGTTTTTCTTAATCTAACTAGTTTAACTCGAACCGTGTAATGTAAAAATGTCATATAAAATACTCGAATATCCTTATATAACTATATAAGAGAAATAACCTTCCTAGTTGTTTGTTATACAAAAATGGTATTTTTAATTTCTATATACTATATTAAACACTATGAAAGCTTACACAACAACATCTAATCAATCAATAATATTACTAATTAATCATTTACTCTCAAAATCAAGTTACTTCACTCTTGTTAAGGAGTGAAGCACCGATGCTTACAAATCTCATTTGGAAACATTTCCATGATTGAAGGGGCAATAGTTTTTTCATGCACATGCTACTTTGCTTGGTCAATACATTAGGTTTTTATGGACAAAATATTGGGATATTTTATACACGCATGCACTTTGAGTTACTATTCAAATCTACACCCAAACACATGAATTTTGTTTTTTTATTTAATCCTTGGAATTGAAAACTCTGGGTGGTCGGCAAAAGATGATGCTCTTTCATGGGGGATGCTCAAAAGCACAGATTGCAAACACGTGCAATTTGGAAAGGCTCCATAACACTATATGTGTATTAAGATCAATATTAAATTTGGATGAGTTATGGATTATCTTTGATTGACTATGATCTTTTTTGGCACTTTATAGACAGTTTAATAAAAATACACAATAAGTAGAAAATCCTTTGAAAAAACTATGTAATATGGATTATCTTTGATTGATTATGGTCATTTTGGCTTTTTATAGATAGTTAATAAAATATACACAATAAGTACTACTTTGAGAAAATATTTGAAAAAACTATGTAATAAACTCTTCGAATGTCATTATTTCACGGTTATACCTTTTTTTTTTTTTGGTACNTGATTTTTACTTTTTAGTCAATTGTAGCACTAATTGAAGTTGAACTAATATATTATTTATATTTTAATAATAATTTTAACTAATATTTATTAAAATCAATCAAATGGCCGATAATATCCCTTGAATGTATTGAACCATATATTGATGGCTTGTCCAATATGATTATCGATACGATATTTAAAAGACTGATTTAAAACATCACGTTGGACCTTCCACTACCAATTTCATGACATATATGACTTAAAATAATCGTGAAAATTTTCACTTTTGGTATCATAGATATACTACTTTTTTGCTTTTCGTGCCCGAGGTTCTAACTTACTCAATTCTGATTATTAAAATTTTCAAAATTAATCACTTTTTGTCCTAACGTTAAACAATTAAATTTGACGTCCACCGCAATCCGCCGCTTGCCTCTGATTACAGATTTTAACAAATCATATATCATACTAAAGCTTCTGATGCCTATTCAATGGTACATTTTATTTCATCATACAATAAATACCTCGAAGTTCGTCAAAATTGTCATTAAAGATTCAAATCTTTGTTGGACGAAATATGCCTTAAAGTTTGACAAAGTTCTGCTAAAGATCCAACCGTAAGATTTTCATGAAAAATAAATATGTAGAAAAAAAAATCTAGAGAAGTATAAAGGTATAACTCGATCATCAATCGAGTTTCTCAATCGTCAGATATAGGGTTGGATATTTAGCAGAGCTTGGTCAAACTTTAAGGAGTATTTTGTAAAAAATAAAATAAAATAAAATAAATCTTTACCAATAATATTGACAAACTTTGAGATATCGTACGATGAAATAAAATTGGATAGGTTGAAGCGAGAGCTTTAAAATTATACATGATTTGTTGAAATCTGTCGCGAGAGGCAGCGGCAACAGGTACTCGTCAAATTTAATTATTATTATTATTATTATTATTATTATTATTATTATTATTATTATTATTATTATTATTATTATTATTATTTTATTATTATTATTATTATTATTATTACTATTATTATTACTATGTGTTGAATTAAAAATATAATAAAAAATATTAAAGCTTTTATTTTAAAATTTTCTGTAAAATTAAAATAATTTAATTTTATATAAAACATCACTTCGTGTTTTAATCAAATTGTCAAACTATATTTATTTAACTTTATATGTAATTTTATAGAGTGGATAATTAATTATTTATTTTTATTAGATTGACAGCGAACCAATTAAGTTTTAAACAAATATAATTTCTAAAAGAATAATATCATATTATTTCATCTTCGGAATGAGAGAAATATGAATATTGGAGAGAAAAGTTGAAAAATAAATTAATATGATTGATTTAGTAAAGGTATGTAATAGAATCAAAATGAAATAAAAGAAAAAAAAACATTATGGTAACTATGGAAGAAAAATATAGAATGAAATAAAAAATAATTGTTTCAATGAAGAAAACTATTTAATATTATGGAAATAACCATGTCTAGTTGACATTTGACATGACACCCGAGCCTATTTGTGTATCAATTCAAAACACAAAATTACGACAAATAAAATCTCGAAACTTGCAAGATTGCCACTGAGACTCAAATACATTTAAGAATTATATACAGGGGGATATGCCTTGTAAGTAATATAAAAGATGCAACAGTAGGTAATTTTTAACAACATTCCAAATCAAGTAAAAAAGAAAAAAAAATGGATTATAGCTCCAAGGCACAATGCCAAAAAAGCTTATATGGAAAGCAATAAAATAGGATGGGAAAGAGAATCTGTGAGAGACAAAACAAAGTTCTAACTATATTATATTACATGCTAGAATCAGTTTGCCTAGCAATAAATCCCTGATTTCATGGGAAGCTCCAAGCAACAGACAGTTTTCATATATTGGGGGAGGTATCAAGAATTTTGTCCCTTGTACCTAACATATATATAAACACACACACACACACATATATGAATCAAAAAAAGAGTCACAAATCCATCTTTCTAACAGCAGTCATCAATCACGCATCATTTATTCCTAACCTTCAATCTCACTTGCAAGCAGAACACTTGTTTCACATAAAAGGTCACCATCAGTATGGACAGCAGTCATTTTTCTTCGTACTTTGGGCTCGTTCAAGGAGGAGACGAAGATAATCAGAGAGTCGAGCTAGCGGCATTACCCCACATACCTCAGCCACAGACTCCAAAGGAGCCCATGGAGTTCTTGTCGAGATCTTGGACATTCACTGCCGACCAAATATCAGAAGCTCTTGCCACGAAGAACACACTACCTGCTGCGTGTCAACAAAGCGACAATCCCGAAAACTTTTCCCAACCGCCAAATCTAGTGAGTTTCACAGTTTTCTTGCGAAACATGCATAATTCTGTGGATTTTTAGTTTTCAAAACTAAAAATCGCATCTTTAGTTAAAAACTAGTACTATTTTCAAATCGAGAGTCGTCCGACAACTTTTCTCAACCGCCAAAATCTAGTGAGTTTTGCAGTTTTCTTGTGAAAAAACGCACAATTCAGTGGGATTTTTAGTGAAAAATACGAGTACTATTTTCAAAATCGAGAGTCGTTTGAGATTTTTCATTTCTTCTATCAAAAGTTGGAAGGAGAAAAAAAAAATAACTAAAAGTTTGTTACCATCGGGCAGTCTGGAACAGTAACGAAAACATCGAGCAGTGGGGCGACGGCTATGGGGAGATTTTTCAATCACAAAGAAGGAAATGCCATGAGAAAAAAAGATAAAGCTCGGCTGGAGAGTGCACACACGCATGCTCTCGTCTCTGTTGCTGGCCTTGCAGCTGCATTGGCTTCTTTTTTTGCCTCGGCCGATAAATCCAAGGCCTCGAGCCCAGAAATGAACACTGCATTGGCATCAGCAACAAAGCTCTTGGCCTCTTACTGTATTGAGCTGGCGGAATCTGGCGGGGCCCACAGGGAGCACGTGACCTCGGTTGTGAGGTCAGCAGTGCAAATTCACACAGAAAGTCATCTCTTGACTTTGACAGCTGCAGCAGCAACTGGTATAATATTAATATCCTTTGTGTTTTTCTTATATATATATATATATATATAAGGAATATTCTTTTATGGGATTTCTAGCTTTGAGAGGAGAAGCTGCTCTGAAAGCAAGATTACCAAAGGAAGCAAAGAGGAGTGGTGCAGCTGTGAGTCCTTACGATAAGGTCTTAGCATATTCTCCTTCTCAAGCGACTTTTCAAAGTGAAATCGAGAAAGAGGACCTTCCCTGTGTGGGTGACTTACTACAGCTCACTCAAAAAGGTGATAAAGCGAAGTTTTTAAAAAAATATCGACTCTCATGTATACAAAGAGCATCTGATAATTTAGAATCTGTAGTATACGGTGAATCTGCCTAATATCCCAGTTTTCCATATCCCACAAAATCTTGTAAATTCATGCTTCCAGTTTGGTTTTAGTTGATATAATAAATCCAATACCTGATTGTTTGAATTCTCAGGCTTGCTACAATGGAGAAATGTCTCTGTCTATATCAACAAGGCATGTGAGGTATATCTATCTGTATAAGGTTTCTGTATATACATTATATATGGGTAATGCTTGTCAAATGTATATATTGCAAGGCTGACAGAAAACCAACCGTTTGCAGGTTACGATCAAGTTGAGGAGTAAACACATTGGTGGAGCCTTTTACAGAAAGAACAAATGTAAGTTTTTCGACACCATCAAATCATAATGGATGGTTTGTTTTT